TATATACTATATATATATATTTATATACCTACTGTGTCACTGTATATCTATATATTATGTACTATCTATATTTTGATATTATATGTGATAATATGTATAGTTGCTCCTACATAATGTATGTGCGATATATTATATGTATATATATACTTGTATACGTCTATGTATGTATGTATGTAATGTATACTAGTATATATAATTGCATATATTTGTATGTAGTCATATAATATAATAGATGTCATATATGCTTATGGTTAGTGTATTACTCACTTATATTTAATATATTATATACTCGATATATAGTATTTACTATGTATCATTCATCTATGTATATTATGTCGTCGCTACTGTATATCTACTACTCTCTCCTCTCTTCATACTTGTATATATATGTTATGTATACTTCTTTCTCTCTGTCTTGTATGTATATTATCTCTATCTTCTCTTATATCTCTCCTCTCTTCATCCTCTATCTACATTTTACTATATAATATATGTAGATATAGTGGTTGTAATATATATTGTTATTCTAAATTTATATATATAGTGTATATCATTATTGTATATATTATTGTATCGTACTATATATGTATGTATATATATGTAGTATATAATGTATATTTATATCTTTATGTATATTAATAGTATATTTTAAATGTATGTCTAATGTATATTTTTATGTAATATATATTATGGTATGTAATATATATATGTATTTTATTATATATATGTATTATATGTATATATGTATATTTATAGTTATATTTATATATGTTATATCTATATGTATACATGTATGTATATATGTATATATATGTATATACTGTATATATGTATATATGTATATATAATGTATTGATGTATATATATTGTTATGTATATATATATGTATATATTTTGTATATAAATTGTAAATATGTATGTATGTATGTATATGTATATGTATATGTATGTATATATATGTATATATATGTATAATATGTAATATGTATATATATATACGCATCACTCACTCACTCACTCACTCACTCACTCACTCTCACTCACTCACTCACTCACTCACTCACTCACTCACTCACTCACTCACTCACTCACTCACTCAATCACTCACACACACACACACACACACACACACACACACACACACACACACACACACACACACACACACACACACACACACACACACACACACACACAACACACACACACACACACACACACACACACACACAGACACACACACACACAGACACACACACACACACACACACATACAGACCACACACACACACACATACACACACACACACACACACACACACACACACACCACACACACACACACACACAGACATAGACACACACACACACACACACACACACATAGACACACACACACACATAGACACACACATACCCACTCACACACATACATACATACATACATACAAACTGTAAAATGTTACCATTCGTCTCACTCCAACTTTCTAGCAGTGCTGTTAAAGTATACCAGAATGTTGCTTGTTCATAAAATTGATTTGAGTAATGTAGGTATATATTTGGCGTATTTCTAAGTGTGCAGTTTAGGAATTCTCCAGCTAGATTGCTGTAGTTGTTATCCATACATAATGAACACAGTGAATATATAATGAAATAATCAGAGCTAAAACTTTCCCTTCCCCAGTCCAGCTGTTATGGCAGAAATGACTACTTTTCTAAGAAACTTGTTATCTGTTAGATCCTTTTCTTTTGAAACATCTTTATCTCATGCATAGAATCCTATTGTAACACTCGTCTCTCATGGAAATATCTAGCATTTATATTTAAAAATTAGTCCTCGTAAAGTTCCACAATATACTTATCTCATCTTTTTACAGACCATAAGGGTGGGTAAAATCTCTAATTACAATATGTGATAAATAAAACGATTTTAAACTTTAATCTTGTTTATGTAATAGCTATGAAAATGTTAGTGTTATGAATGCACATCCTAAGCTAAAACTAAGAGTAACCATACTGTGTTCTCAAAATACCATTGAGGTCTAAACAAAGTAGTTCCTTTTCCATCTTTATTAACCCATTGGCGCCGGGTGTCACATACGTACATGCCATGGCTGTTGTGGACCAAACGCCGGGGGCATCATGCCATGCCCATTCCCGCACTACTGGCTCGTCGTACGAAAGTTGTTTTCCTCCACTAGTTGCGGCTTCATTTATATGGTAAAGATTTTAGGCAATGGCGCCTAAAGTGAAGGTAAACCTTCAAAATTTTAATATTTTCATAAATTTTAGAAAAATAAAAGCTTTTAGGTGCTATATGTCACTCGCAAACTACCGATCGAGCCGGGCGCAAACGGGAAACTGCCAGTACGCGCCAACAAGCCGGCGCATACGTAAACTTGAAAAAAATTTTACCCGTCGCTGATGGGTTAACCCAATGCCACTGGGGATATCATGGATGTATATGCCATGGCCACAGTGAGCTTAGTTTATTGATGGTATTTACATATACATAGCTCCACAAGCGTTTATTCACCAAGGTCAATCACTAATCCTACCTACCATACCAATTTTCCCTTACCTTGATTTTTTGAAACATTTTATTTTATTTTATACATTGTTTATTTTTGTATTGTTAAGAACATGGTAATAATTATAATGTCCAGAAAGATATTAAAGCATTGATATTAATAGCATTAGAAGAACAAGACATTTTTCCTGAAACCTGAAGGAAGAGGTCACATAGACTACTAATTCCTTGCAGAAGCTCTCTGTGTATAGATGCATTTCACCAAACAGTACTGTGAACATCACATTTGCCTGGTGGAATTGGGTTAAAGATGATTTTTGACTGTAGTATATAAAAGTCATATTAAATTAGTGATTATGACAAAGCCAAACATAAGCCTGTGTCAATAGTCAGGAAAAATCCTTTTTGCAGTTTTTAGAGCCCAAATACTGTTCATAATTTTATGATAGATTAATTATATCCCAAAATCCTTAGCTAGGTAGACCAAATATAATTAAAACTGAAACGGTATCTCTGTCTTTCAGTATATAGGATGTGTTTTATCCTATTACATCTATGATATGACATGATACCTTTACCTAAGCACATTAGGGTCACTTAAGTATTAGATTTCTCCTTCAGTACTTTTTTGAGTCCAAAAGCATTCCTTTATTGCCATGTTAAGCTTTCAGTCTGCAGAATGAGTGATGGCAGGAGGAAAAGAATGCATGGTTTTTATCTAAATCTCTTCCATTTCAGCTGTATTCAGTCTTTAGTTACTGTTTGAACCAGCACAAGTTTGCGATATTTCTACATGCTAATGGAAGTGATTTTTAGAGTTCAGCCATATACTGCGGTAGGATATCTTTGTTTTCTTTGCCTTTTTTGCTCAACCAGATTGCACCAAATTGTGTTGTACAGCTTCTTAAAAAATGTGGGCCTCTTATGATAGCATATATGTCCTATATTTATCTTATAGGATTTTCTCAACCAGGATCCTCAAATCCTATTCTTTCAGGTTATGTGCTTTTTGTTTTCAAAAGTTATTAATGATTTTTACCAAAGATGTAGGATGAGTAGAATTTATATGTGCAAATTATTTCTGTTTGACTTTATTTTTTTCTTGAATGCTGTGATTACTGTTTTTGTCTTTATCTATCTTCTCTGTGATGAATAATTGGGTTTGGTAATAGAAATCATGATGTAAATATTGATTCTTTTGATGAAAAAAATGTGATTTGTATTTTTGTGAATATTAGTGATAGGAACAAATTGGTTCCATGAAGTATATCAAAGGTTTCCATGTTTTTTCATAGTTCAGTATGATTTTATTTCATCATACCTTAAAAGTCTGGTTTGTTTCTAACACTTTTTTTTATTTGTCTTTTTATTTATTGATTTATTTTTAGTACACTATCAAAAAATTATTTTTTATTTTCATTCTCTTCTTACAGACTGGTAGTCTATATAGTGATGGCGTGACCTTAAGCCAAGCAAAACAGCACCACCAACAGCAGCAGCAGCAGCTGCAGCAACAACAGCAGCAACAACAACAACAACAACAACAACAACAACAACAACAACAACAACAACAACAACAACAACAACAACAGCAGCAGCAGCAGCAGCAGCAGCAGCAACAACAGCAACAGCAACAGCAACATCAGCATCAGCATGGGCAGCAACAACAGACTCACAAGATTAACAATAACAGCACCAACACTTCATCAGGACATCACCACCATCATCATCACCACCACCATCACTCAGCCAGAGGTATATAGCTTTTTCCTTTTTTGAGAAAGTCAGTTTTTTTCTCTCTCTCTTACAGAAATAAACTCTAATAGGTGGATTTGTTTAGAAGGTTTGGCTTAAACTTTTAAAACTTAGGGTGTTCATTGTTGGAATGCTAAGTTTTACAAAGAGATGATAAAGTAAATTATATATAGGTTATTTGGCTTTCAAGCTGATTTATTCACTTTGATAAGAGATACTTAAGTAGTTTGACATAATGTTTGTTCATGCATTTGAGCCATCTTTTTCAATGGTTATGCCCTCCATGCCACTTCTTGTGTGACAAGTTAAGTAGGTGGTAGGCATTCTAATAACAAAGGTGTGCTTAATAAATCTTGTATAGTGGCAGGCAAGCTGACAGGCAGAAGAAAGACTATTATAGTGAGAGAGAGTATGGATATTTTAGGCTGTTAACTATATGTATTACCTAGATAACAGTGTGTAGTATAGAAGAACAGGATTATGATATTGAGTCCCCAATTTTAATCTTGCTATTTACAGTTTCATGTAATTTCTTTACAGCAGCTGGCTCGGGCGCCACCTACCAGCAGCATCAGCATCACCAACAGCAACAGCCACGAGCATCCACTATCAAACTCTTAGACCCCTACCAGAAGTGCTCCACAAAGGTAAATATCTGTTTTTTGTATGCCTTATATCTAGCAGCTGATCTCATTGTGTTTGGTCTCATATAGCACCAAAAGGTGTATATCTCTCTGGGCTGGGTTAGCACTCCAGGGTTATTTTCCTCTTGTGCAAGCCTCATTAACTCTCTTCCTGGCCACTCACTGAAATTTGATGAAGGTAATTGCCTTGCATATCTGTAAGGTAAGATATATATATATATATATATATATATATATATATATATATATATATATATATATATATATATATTAGCTTATCCTGGCCACTGGGTATGACTGGGAGAGCTGGTCCTTCACATAAAACCCCTTCATGCAGCAGATGTAGTCAGTGACTGTAATCTGCTTCATTACATTGGCACCCTTCCGGGCCACCTGCCCGGTTTTTACCATCTCACTGGTGTAGGTGGTAGACAGCAGATGTGAGGTATGTTTTTCCTCCCCCATTTTGTAGCCATAGGAAGCCAATGGGAGGGCTCCTCTTCAGGATTTCATACTTTTCTTCTTAGCTGGGAAGTCAGAAAGCATGAATTTTCTGTTGGCCCTTACAGTCCCAACAGTGTTCATTTTGTATGCCATCAAGATATAAAAAAGGATTGTAGAAATGTACCAATTATCAAGATATAGTTCATACTCCTTCCCCAGAAGATATGCTGCCTCCATCAGGTCTAGAGCAGCATTCTGTAAGGCAGGCATATCTCCCCTTTTCTTGCCAGTATACAACTAAAAGGCCCAGGTATAGCCAGTACAAAAGCCATCCACCATACATAACTTTAGGCCGAACCTGGCATGTTTGCTAATTGTTATGTGATTCCTGGATGTTACTGGTCGAATCTTCTAGAATCGGTCCTTTATTTCTTTTGCTGTCACATTGGACTCAGCCTCCACATGACATGAGATTGGTTTGAGAGTCCTCTAAGTTGTTTAATCGGGTCTCCTAGAGTGATTTATGATGAAGTGGATTCTCACCTCCAGCCTCTGTGATCTCCCTAGTCCAGGGCTAGACTTTACCAAGTGCAGTTCTAGTCAGAGTGGAAATTTCACTGTTACTTTACCCTAAAGCAATAACTGTGATTTTCACCTATGACAGGTCTTTGTTCCATTGGCATGGTCTGCAAATAAAAAAGGGAAGGCGATTCATGTAGGGAAAGAAAAAACATGCAATGAGTATGATGAAAAATATTCATTCTCTCATTACCAGTGCCTCAGGGACAGTGTTGGGAGATATATGTGCGTGGGTGACAAAGCTCTGCCCCCTTAACCAGCTGACATTTTTATGGGTATATAGAGGGGGTTACTTAGTGATTTGTCACAAGTAATGATATTCTGATTTTTGCACCAAAAGTAATAGTGCTGACAGTATGTTACATGCAATGATCCTGAAACTTAATTTAGTTTGTAAACTCAAATTAATAGTTCCTTTACATAACATACATGTGTCCACAGCAAAATTGTAATAGAAAAGGAAGGAAAAAACTTTTGAACTTGGAAGATGAGTTTAAGAGATGCACAAAAATACATAAGTGTTGTAAAGTGCTCTTCCCACCTGTCAGAATTTGTGTAAATTCATAATCATTATTAATATATATTTTTTGAATGATGATGATAATTAAAGGAATGATAATAATTGTTGTTATTACTACAACTTTATAAATCCACTTTTGCTAGATTTTACCCATCAAAGATATACTTAAGCCTCTATAGTCTCATTTGCTAAAAAAATAGAAAAAAAAAAGAGTAAAAAAGTGGCTAAAGTTAGGTAGACGTAGTTTACTGCTCCTCTTCCTCCCTCTCCTATGCCTCCTCCTCCTCTTCCTCTCCCTCCCTCTCCTCCTCTTCCTCCTCCCCCTCCTTCTCCTCCTCCTCCTCCTCCTCTTCCTCCTCTTCCTCCTCTTCCTCCTCTCCCTCCCTCCCTCTCTCTCCTCTTCCTCCTCTCCTCCCTCCTCCTCCTCCTCCTCCTCCTCCTCCTCCTCCTCCTCCTCCTCTCTTCTCCTCTCTCCTCCTCCTCCTCCTCCTCCTCTCCTCCTCCTCCTCCTCCTCCTCCTCCCTCTCCTCTCTCCTCCTCTCTCTCCTCATCTGCTACCCTCTCCTCCTCCTCCTCCTCCTCCTCCTCCCTCCTCTCCTCCTCTCTCTCTCCCTCATCTGCTATATTTTTCCTCCTCCTCCTCCTCCTCCTCTCCTTCTCCTCTCCTCCTCCTCCTCTTCCTCCTCTCCTCCTCCTCTCCTCTCCCTCTCCTCTCCTTCTTCCTCTCTCTCTGCTCTCCTTCTCCTCTCCCTCCTCCTCTTCCTCCTCTTCCTCTCCTACCTCTTCCTCTTCCTCCTCTCTCCTCCTCTCTCTCTCTCATCTGCTATATTTTCCTCATCCTTCTCCTTCCCCACCCCCTACTCCTCTTCTCCCTTTTCCTCATCCTCCTCCTTTTCCCTGTATCAGTGTGAGAAATATAGTTTTTAATGTCATTTTTTTGTCTCTCTAGCGCAAGTGCTTTGACCACAATGGCAGTGGCGGTGGTAGTTTGGGTCTAGAGAGTGGGAAGGTGGGGCCCCCAGGTGGTGCCCCAGGAACAGCCTCCAAGACGGTGGCCCACGGGAAGGTGGCCCTGGGTGGCGGGGCACACAATGCCACCAAGGGCGTCAATTCAAATGCTGCTGACGGAGACTATCAGGTAGGTTGAAGTTTAAACCAAAGTTTATTGCGCAAGTAGGCTGAGATGGAAATATGGAATGTGAACATGAAAGGTACATATCTCACACATGGAGACAGAACTTAATTTTCAAAGTAAAACTTCTTACCTCTCTTTTAGTTGGTACAACATGAGGTGTTGTACTCCCTCACTGCCCAGTATGAGGTGCTGGAATTCCTGGGGCGTGGCACATTTGGCCAAGTGGTCAAATGCTGGAAAAAGGGCACCAATGATATTGTGGCCATTAAAATCCTCAAGAATCATCCCTCCTATGCTAGGCAGGGTCAGATTGAGGTAAGGTTGTTCGACAGACATGTAATAGTATTAGGCCTCTCTGTAGAATGTGTATATGTATTTTTTTTCATTAATCTCCTTTTTGAATGTATACAGAATTATTTTTTTCATATATTATATATATAAATATATATATATTGCTGTATATATATATATATATATATATATATATATATATATATATTATATATATATATATATATATATATATATATATATATATATATTTTTTTTTTATTCTCCATCAAAGGTTGGAATCTTGACAAGACTCAGCCAGGAAAATGCAGATGAGTACAACTTTGTGCGAGCATTCGAGTGTTTCCAGCACAAGAACCACACCTGTCTGGTGTTTGAAATGCTTGAACAGAACCTGTATGATTTCCTCAAACAGAATAAATTCTCACCACTGCCTCTTAAATTCATCAGACCTATTTTACAACAGGTTTTAACTGCACTTCTTAAACTTAAGGTAAGATATGTGAGGAAAATATTGAATTCCATATAATAGTCTTGATAAGTAGTTTGGGATATGTTTAGTAGAATGAGTAAGAAGTATACACAATTTTTGATAAATAAAATTGTATGTCAGATATGTATTTTGTTTTCTTTTAATTTCAGCAACTTGGCCTGATCCATGCTGACCTCAAGCCAGAAAATATCATGCTGGTTGATCCAGTCAGACAGCCATATCGAGTCAAAGTCATAGATTTTGGCAGTGCTTCACATGTTAGCAAGGCAGTCTGTAACACCTACCTACAGTCCCGCTACTACCGAGCTCCGGAGATCATTTTGGGTCTCCCTTTCTCTGAAGCCATCGACATGTGGTCCTTAGGCTGTGTTATAGCAGAACTGTTCCTGGGTTGGCCACTCTATCCTGGGTCCTCAGAATATGACCAGGTAATGGAGGAGTTGGATGCAGAATTGTGTAATTGGGAATTTGAACGTCAAATGCATCTTCAGTTTAGATTTTTTTTTCTCTACAGGATTGATACCATCAAAATTTTACTATGAATTCCTTTTGCTTTTTTCAGTATACAAGTTGAATTAAGGATATGGGATATAGTTGACTGAAATGGGTGAAGTGAAATAAATATACTTTATTATGTAAACAATTGTCGAGCAAAAGCTTTGATATATTGCCATTGTTTTTTCTAGATTCGTTACATCAGCCAGACTCAAGGGATCCCAGCAGAGCATATGCTGAACAATGCTACAAAGACCACAAAGTTCTTTTACCGAGACAATGAGTCAACATACCCATTCTGGAGACTAAAGGTAAGTCGCATTATAAAAGTAAGTTAAAAGTAGGAAGTGGTAAGAAAGGAGAAAGTTTTAACCCACTAATGCGAGTATATTTTGAAGCCGAAAATAATATTTTCCGGGCAGCTACAAAATCGGCGCACTGGGCCTGCCCGGAACCTGCCCACGCGCCGGCTGCAGCCCACTACATATTTGGAGTGCGAGCTCTTATCCAATATCACACTGGTAATGTTTATTTTTCCAGGTGTCTGATATATGGGAATATGGGACACCTGTTATAAATGGATTAATATTCATAGAGTGTTCATTTTAACCCTTTAGCGACGGGTGTCCCATATATGAGACACCCGAAAAAAATAAATATTGCCGGATGTCCTGCCAGTGTGACGCTGTATCGGGGCTGCGCTCCGACACAGCAGCGGGCCGTGGCTGACAGGCGGACAGACTCCGGGGAAGCTCCGCCCACCAATTTTGTAACCGTCCAGAATATTTTATTTTTGGCTTCAAAATTCCCCGGCGTGAATGGGTCAAGAAATGCACCAACTTGTTGATTGATTTTGCTATTGGACATATATATGTTTCAAATATATGTATTAGTGAAATATCAAAGAATTTTTCTCTGCCAATTCCAGACCCCAGAGGAACATGAAGGAGAGACAGGCATCAAGAGTAAAGAGGCTCGTAAGTACATCTTCAACTGTTTAGATGATATGGGTCAGGTTAATGTACCCACGGAGCTGGAAGGCGGTGAGCTTTTGGCAGAGAAGGCAGATCGACGTGAGTTTATAGATCTTCTCAAAAGAATGCTGACCATGGACCAAGAGAGACGAATAACCCCTGGAGAAGCTTTACAACACAGCTTTGTTACTTTACAACACCTTCTAGACTATCCACACTGCTCCAATGTGAAAGCATCCATGCAGGTGTGTCAAAGTTTTGTTCAGGTAATGTAGATGGAAGATTGCTATTTTATGAAATATGACTTTTTCTAGATCGTATTATAAACAAAGTTAACAATTTTTTTTTTTTTTTTTTTTTTTTTTCTTCTTCTTCTTCTTCTTCTTGTCAGATGATGGAAGTATGCAGACGGCCAGCTCCCCCTTACGCCACTGCAGCAACTGTTTCACAGGCACAAGCTCTTCCACCTTCTCTTATGCCCAACTATGTCCACTCTACAAATGGCTCGGTTACGCTAACATTCAACAACCAGATTACCAATCAGGTACGCAATGAGGTAGGGACATATGATTATTGTGGATTTGGTAGGTTATGGACCAGATAAAGCTTCCTTTCATTTTGGTTTATTGTTTCCTGTGAAAATGATAAAGAAAAACTTGTTTACAATGTTATGTAAATGGATTATGACACTGATGTTTTTCACATGCTACTATTAATTTTTATGCAGTTTTGATCAGACCCTACCTCCATAGTCACACATAAGCAGCATAACTGCAAACACCCTTTTTTATATATGATACCCACAAGTATTACTAGTCTTCACATCCTGTAAGAGTTACTCATGTGTAAGACACATGGGTTTCATTTTATTAGTGATCCGTGTAATTATGTAACCTACAGTAACTCATTGTAACAAGTCATTAAATTTCAAATCACAGTTTATGTATTCCTGCCACTCCATCCTCTCTTCTCTGCTCAGTTTAGCTCACTCTTGCATTGCTTGATCTTTATGTTGACCATCCCCCCAAGCAAAAGTAGTATTTAGATAGATTTAAAGAAGTCTGCATATGTAAGAATATTTATCATTATATTCTAGATACCTTACAGTAGAAGAGTTTTGTTACCATGCGCACCCACATACTATCAAATTTTAACATTTTCTTTTGCCCCTTCTAGTGTTTGTTAGACTGTATGTAGAGAAATGTGTAGTCATGTGTTACATCTTTCCTATCTTTTGATTCATCTCTGTCTCTATACAGTATTATGATGAGACAACAAACTACTCTTTGCCTAATTAGCAATTCAGACATAAGGAAATATTGAATTAAGTGATAGCTTGTGTGTGTTCCTTAAATGCCGAACCTACATTCAGCAGCCCTGAACCTAACCTGTATCTTTGGATTAATCAGAACTCCCAGATATGAACATTGAAAGATCAACTTTTAAGGAAAACATTGCAAACTGTTGGAAAGATGGATACATGTTGCAATAGCAGATAGAGTGGTTTATTGTTTAGGAAATGTCTTCACTTTAGAAGCATGTTATGAATGTTCAGTAGTTTCTAACTTAATGTATGGTTAATGTAAACAGAGTTTAGTGTTAAGTGTCTTATATGTAAGAGACACAGGTTATTTTCTAATCACTTATTTACAAGAATGGTAATGTGTGTTTTTGATGGTACTTTCTATGAATCATCCCCCCCTCCCCATATTTGTATCCTCTTTCTCTGCTTCACCTCCTCCTCCTCCTCCACCTCCACCTCCACCTCCACCTCCACCTCCTCCTCCTCCTCCTCCTCCTCTCCTCCTCCTCCTCCTCCTCCTCTTCCTCCTCCTTCTCCTCCTCCTCCTCCTCCTCCTCTTCTCTCTTCTTCTTCTTCTTCTTCTTCTTCTTCTTCTTCTTCCTCCCCCTCCTGTTTACCAACCAGTTGAACATGTTTTGTTGTTCAATCCTCATTGTAAATGTTAAATTATATATGAATTTGCATGACTACAGTAGTGTGTGGTACATGTCTCATGTTGATATTCTAGGCATTATTGTCATCTAATTCTGGAATTAGATTACAATCAGGGAATTGTTAATCTACAAGTGTTGCAGCAAGGGTAGATTGGAATTATTATATAATCCATGGTATCTGTAGATGATTTGGGATGTTAGTTGTCCCTCTTTATTTTGTGTTTGAGTTGGTAGTGGGAAATATCAATGAGTCTCGTGTGAGCTTCAGTAAAACAAAAAGTAGAAATGCTTATATATTTAACATATACCTCATTTTCTAAATTTGATCGTGTACAAAACGAAGCCTTTTATATTTATCTTAAAATGACAAAACTGAAAAACACGGCTCAAACCTGTGACCGTTCCAGAGGAATCCAGGACATTTCGGCACCAGACGATTCAGCGGCAGGCAGCACCTCACCACAAAAGTAAGACGGGGACAATTCAGTGCCACAGATGAAAATCGTGTTATTTAAATGAGACAGAACAGTATCTTAGTTTCTTATTTTCATTACAATACTTAACATAAAATATTGCACTCTGTATAATTTTGTTGAAACATTCTCAAAAAGAAGAATGCAGTTCTTCAGTATTACATACGAACAAAGAGGACTTTGATTGTTTTAAGAAGCCAATGTATCTTTAGAGCATTGGTTTAGTACAAGAATACATAGTTTAACTTACTTTTTCCACAGATACTACAAGTTGATATACATTCTTACCTGAGAGTAGTGTAATATTAAATTGTTTGTAAGGATATAAATTTGACTTTTTGACAGTTGTTATGGTTCTGGCTGTAAGGGTTGTTGACCCTACACTATTATCTCTGTCCTGAATTGTCAGGTGCTGGACTGTCCAGATTCCATTGAAAGGTTGCGACATCATAAATTATGTTGTCTCTTTTTTCTTGTGAGCTTCTGTGTAAGTGTGGAGACACAGTTGTATTTATCAAAGACAAACTTTCGCATGTTACATCCAGAATCTTTTTGATGTGCCATGCGAAAGAAAAAAAAGTGCCTTGCAGTCTCCACTTTTTATTTTAATTAAATTATTAATTTATTTTTTGTGTTAAAATAAGAGAAGAAAAAAAGTCCCCTTAACCCCTTAGATTTGGTTGCATGATGAAAATCATGGAGCTGAAAACCTCGGGCAATGGGTTATGTAAATGGCCAATATCCCGGGCATGCGGCGTGTAGGCCGGGCACGCACGAACACCCATGAGCGGTGACAAGACTCTGTGTCTCCTCTTGGAAAAGTTTTGTGTAAATTTTTGTAGCTTTGCCATTTCCCAATGTTCATATTTGTCTTTTGATTTGCTTTATCCAGATGGTAATTTCTCATTTTCCTTGCACTGACTCCATATCATCTCTCTATGTAGTAAATAAAGAGGTGCAAAGAAAAAAAAAAGTAACATTTGGTTATTTGTGTCATATATAATTTTTTTGCAATTTTCAATTTTGCATAATACAGCCTGCGCTGCCGGTCACAGCAGCCAAGAATACAGTGCATAGCATAGAAATGGCATTTTCCTTGGAACCAGCACTCTTCGAGTGACTGCTTACACATGTTACATTCCATATTTGTTTTCAATGGGAATAATGCTAAAGCCCCCTTCTAAGCACCAATTAGTCAAATCACACTCCAAGAGGTTTGTGCACTTGTGGCGAGTCTTTTCCATCACCCTGACCTTTGCTTAGGATGGCAGTTCGCTTCACCCGGACCACGGCCAATTTGCCTGGTTGACGGCATGTTCACATCACCCGGGCAGCTGCCAAAGTTTTTCCTTGACGTGACCGCAACGTCATCGGAGCCCAAGGGGTTAATAGAAAATTTGGTTTACTACCAGAGTTATAGCTGATAATAGTTTCTTAAAACTTGGAGAGCTTCAGACACATTATCTGTGTAGTAGGGTAGTCTATTATCATTTAGGTAAATGCTTGCTCCCAAATGTTTTAAGTTAGTTTCTTTGTTTTTTCCTGTTTCAGCAACTGCTTCATTGACATGAACAGATGCATTTGATTTAATATGTTGCCAAGAATTTCCAAAAATTTCAGCTCACAAATCAAATTGTAGGTGTTGAGTATGTCTTTTCTAAAGATGGAAGCAAAATTCTTTATGAATTTGTACATTGTGTGAAATGATAATTGAGAATAATATGCTTTTAATATACTGTAAATAGATATGACTGATTTGAGGTAAAAAGAAATTCCCTCTTTGCTAAACATTTATGAAATTTTACATATTTATGGATTTAACATGTATGATGATAGCTATAATGTATCTCCTGTGGTCTATGTGGATCTTATGCCTTTTTGTAATATAGTGAACAGAATTAAAATATAATCTTATTTTATATAGATACCTTATATTTGCATGCCTTGATGATGAAAATATCATTAGGCATGTTGGTTGGTGTTTTTTGTTTGTTTATTTCAACCTAAACTTTATATTGTGCTTGTGTTCTGGAAAGTTGTAATACCATTTACCCTTATCCTTGATGTGTGCCATATCTTTTTGGGTAAAATGTATACACCATACAACAATCTGTGTTGCACTTAACTATAAGTACTTTGCATTGTTTCTTAGGTTTCTTTTTTATTTCCATATTATAATTACCAATAGAGAAAGGGCTCATGGCTAGTATGTCAAAGATTTTTATCATCTCTACAGTATGGCTTATATCAAGGAAGCCGAAGTGGACGTGGATATAGTGGCAGTAGTCGTGGAGAAGCAGCGGCAGCAGCAGCAGCGGCAGCAGCTTTCCAACCTCAGCTGGTCCCATCAATCCTCTGTCCACCACCTGCGGCTGCATACCAAGGCCTTGCTTCACCTGGCAAACATGTAACAGTTGTAACACAACAGCCACAGTTACAACTCCAGCCATCTTTACTCTCACAGCAGGTAATGTACTCAAGATATATTCCCTCTCCTTTATGCCCCCTTCTCTCTCTCTCTCTCGTCTAACTTTTCATTCTCGCTTCATACTTCTCTCTCGTCTAACTTTTCATTCTCTCTTCTAACTTTTCTCTCTCATCTGACTTCTTTCTCTCTCTTCTAACTTATAATTTTTATCTCTCGTCTAACTTCACTCTCTTTCTCTCATCTAACTTATAATTTTTATCTCTCGTCTAACTTCACTCTCTTTCTCTCATCTAACTTTTTTTACTCTCTCTCTCTCTCGCTTCTATCTCACTCACTCTCTCACTCACTCACTCACTCACTCTCTCACTCTCTCTCTCTCTCTCACTCTCTCTCTCTCTCTCTCTCTCTCTCTCTCTCTCTCTCTCTCTCTCTCTCTCTCTCTCTCTCTCTCTCTCTCTCTCTCTCTCTCTCTCTCTCTTTCTCTCTGTCTCATTTCTCTTTCTCTCTCATTTCTCTCTCTCTCTCATTTCTCTCTCTCTTTTCTTCTCTTCTCTCTCTCTCTCTCTCTCTCCTAGTTTCTCTCTCTCTCTCTCTCTCTCCAGTTTCTCTTCTCTCTCTCTCTCTCTCTCTCCTCTCTCTCTCTCTC